ACAATCAGTCTTCCTGACCTGAAACAGTCCATACCTAGTTGCTTCCTGGACCTGTCCTATCTTTATCCTTGCTGAGGACCTTGTACCCCAAGTTGTAATGACGGAGTCCCTGTGCCTTTCTACCCCCAAAGAAGTTGTCCCAGGATATTGAAAGGATACAGAGAGAGGTCCTTGCAGGTGTGGGGCTTGAGGTCCAGAATCTGGGGATGTGTAGGGATGGCTGCTCTGGTGAATGTGTGGGCACACCGCAGGTGTGGGCCTTTTCCTTTATTCTTTCTTGCTCTTGCTATTGGCATTCACAGGGCAATCATGTCTTAGTAACACAAAGTTTATCAATCCAGTCTCATCTGGTGTGGGAGGCATTCCTTCAAGAGTCTGGAAAAACTTTGGTCACCCCAGGTTTCTGAGTTACTGTAATTTCATATGCTGTTTTTGTTTGGTGGGAAGCTGGGATAGGAATATGATTGATGATTAGTCTGTTTCCATTTGAACCAATGGAGAATTGGAGCAGAAGGGGAGGGAGGCCCCCCCATGGCAAGTTAGGAGAGTCAGGCCCAGGAGGCTACTCCTAAGGCACGTAAAGGTGCTTTAGGTCTTCTGTGACCTTGGCAGCGCTGAAGGCAAGCATCTGAAGCTGTAGATATACTGTCAGCTTGGGTCCTCAGCCAGGTTGGGCCCACTGGACAAAAGCGGGTGGTGGGTATAGTGCACTCACTGAAAACATGGGGTCTGGAGCCAAGACGCTTTGGGCCAAGTCTTGGCTCTCTGCTGATTGTCGGAGGTGGGGCCTTGGCCAAGGGCCTTAACCTCTGGGTGCCTCAGTTTTAACCTCTCTTAAAAAAAGGAGAGAATAAAATGACCTGCCTCCTTGGCTTACTGTGAAGATTGAGTTCGTGTGTGTAATATATGGTGAGAGTCATGCCCAGCTGCTGGCCTGGGTATGAAGGTGAAGTCTAAAACCTCACGAGTGCTCAGCACAGTTCCTGGAACAGCATGTACCAATAAAGGTGATGACCATCATTACTTTTCCTAATGAGAAAGCCATCCGCTCATCATTGTGGTGGTGGTCATAATTGCATTGGAAGCTCCCTGCCCGCGCCTGCCCTAGGAGAGTGTCTCATGCTGGCTGGGATCACAGGGAGTAAATGTTAATTAATGATTTGGTTGAACTCTGAGAAACAGTTCAAGGTCTCAGACTGCTTATCTTTGAAAGAAAGGAGCTGGTGGGTGTGTGTGAACACACAAGTTTTTCATATCATTCATGTGTTTGTCAGTAATTACAAGAGGAGGGAATTGATGGCTGTTTCCATTTGGAGGGACTGGACTTTAGGGAGTGCGGGAGGCCTTGCGCTGGTAAGGTGGGAGGGTAGACCTGGAGGCCCAGGTCTGTGTTTTCAACAGGTGTGAGGTGTCAGAGGACACTGGAAGAGGCTGGGAGACCTTAAGGGGAAGAAAGGAGTCCCCAGACAGCGAGGGCTGCAATCTTAGCAAGATCATGTCCTAAGTCATGTGGGCTTTTGTTATCACCAGCACAAATTAGAATTCTGCTTCTGTTTGAGAATCTCCTGAGAAGAAGAGGAAAAGAGGGTCAGAAAACCTATACAGGGATGTAAAGAAGGCAATTAGGTCCCTGGAGATTACAGATTCCAAGTATGATGGGAAATTCGGAGCCAGCTTTCTTCTAAGCTCCTTGTGAACATTTTGGTCTTTCAGTAAAAGCAGTTCATGTTGTGAACCTGAAAGAAATAGGCTTTGTGAACCTATTTTACAGATGGGGAGACTGAGGCCCGGAGAAGTTGGGCAACTTGCCCAGGGTCATGTGGATAGAAAGTGGCAGAGCCAACAGTTTCCCTGCACAATCAGGCTATTAGGGATGGTCTTGTTAATACTGTTTGTTGTTGGGGGCGCCTGGGTGGCTCAGTAGGTTAAGCATTCAACTCTTGGTTTTGGCTCAGGTCATGATCTCAGGATGGTGAGATCGAGCCCCTCATTGGGCTCCATGGTCAGTGTGGAGTCTGCTTGAGATTCTCTCCTTCTCCCTCTGCCCTTCCCCCTGCTCACCTGAGCACACACACACACTCTCTCTCTCTAAATAAATAAAATCTTTAAAGAAATACTATTTGTTGTTGGTATTGGGTTAATTTAAGTAGAAATGGCTGTCAAGCCACCCAGTGGCTTTGTGGATGGAACCAGAGGTGGCGGCAGTAACCTTTCTGTTTCCATTTGTGACTGTGACTCAATCCTCCAGTAGCTAGGAGGGAAGAAACCAAGCCCCCCACCCGCAGTGTGGCCCTCAGTAGCTGTGTGAACACTGTGCCCTTGCTGACTCCCCAGTCTTCTTGAGTAAGGCTGCTCGGCATAGCTGTCTCCCGTACTTATGTAAGCAGGTTGACTCTCCTTCCCAGGGAGGAATTGATATCCTTAGGGGGTCATATGCTGCAGGGTGGAGAAACATTCTGTCTTTAGATACCACCAAGGTTTGTATTCTCAGGAGGATATGCAAGATTAAGTGACCTTTACTAAGGAATGAAAAACTGCTTATTTGTATATTCTCCACAACCACCCTGTGAGGTAGGTGCTGTTATTTCCCCCTTGCTTGATGAGTCATATGAGGCCTAAAGAGGTTTAACTTGCTTAAGAACACATAATAAAAGGCTTACAGGAGATTTAAACCAGATAGTCTTGTTCCATAGCCTTATACTAGGTTTGTTTTGATGAGTGAGTGCCATCCATCCATCCACCCATCCATTTCTGAACCGACCTCTTTACCCTCCCTTTCACCCATGAATCCAGTCATCTGCCCATTTATCCATCCTTCCGTTCACCCACAATCCCACTCTCCAGCCAGGTGTCCATCCATCCAGCAGCCATCCATTTTTCTATCCATCCATCCATCCCACAGTCCACCCATCTATTCATTCATCCACCTACCCACCTATCCATTGTGTTGGCTGTTTGTCTAGCGTGGTTTTCTGCTTCATCCTGGGGAATAAGTTTCTCTTGGGGAAAAAGTTTCTTCATATGCTTTCTGAAGCTGGAGACCCCCATGCCAATACAAATCCCTTAGCTCCTGAAAAATATCTGGGCTTCCTTCTGATACTCCTAGGTTGGTGTTCTTGAGAATGCTGCTATTTCAGGTAGGGCCAGGGTGCTGTTCACCTTCCTCCCTCTATAAACCTGCAGCGCGTTTTCCCCTTCAAAGACCTCCAAATGTGCAAGGTTTCAGACTCTTCCAGAAACACTCTTGACTTTCTGAAGCATCATCACAAACGAAAACTCATCTTGCCCCATTCCTTGATCCAGAGATTGGGAAGTTGGATTAGTTTGGCATGGTTTTACTTTTTAAAACTGTTATAGAGTTTGTGTGATACATCTAAAAATTATGTAATAAATCTAAAACAGATGTTCATGGAGCATTTTGTAAGGAAAAGAATTTAATAGAAATAGGCCAATTTGATTGTAGATAAATCAATTAAGGAAACCATTTAAATTGTCTCTGAAGAAGCAGTGTTACGAAGAGGCAGTATGGCCTTGTCATTTGCATATTTATTAAGTGCAAAGCAGTGAAAATCATTTAATTATTTTGCATAGCCTCCTTTGTACTTCAGCCATTGGGAGGCAATCTCACTTTTCAACATTTTTTTACTTTTTATTGTGGAAATTTTTTTAAACATAAAAATTCAGACATGTACACATAAACAGTCATATAATTAACCCTCATGCACTTGGTACCCATCTTGAAAAATGATCAACTATACCTGTATTCACTTCTCCCTTCTGACCTTGTTTTTCTGTTCATGAGTTTCAAGGGTATATTCCTCACTCATTAATTTCACTGGGTCAGAATTCCATTATGTTGACATTGAAATGTAATGAACTTTTGAATGTAGTTGTTTCACTTTTTCATTGAAATTTAGCTTTTGGGGTGTAGAGTATTGGGAATTTTCTGTCTTTTTTTTTAATTTAAAGAATTTCACATCTAGGGCAAAGTTGAAAAAATAATAAATGAACCCTCGTGTATTCTTCCCCTCAACTGACCAGTTATTAGCATCAGGACTGGCTTTTTTCTAAGTGTGTTCTTCCATGAGAATCCTTGAAGACAGCGCAGATTTTCGTACTTTTGAAGGTACATAGACAGTAGCACATGGCTTTAGACCCAGACAGATAAAGGTTCAGGTCTCACCTCTTAGCCCTGCATTGTAGGCTGGGGGAGCTTACCGTGAGAGGGGTCAGGGAGGGATATTGGGCTTTGTCGATTGAAATCAGTTTGGGTCAGTATGGAAGATTTTTGTAGCTTGTGATTAAGGAAATAAGTTGGAGGTGAGAGTGGTTCAAATCCCAGCTCTGCCCTTACCAACTTGGGACTTGGTTGAGTGACCTGACCTCCCTCATTTCCACAGTATAGACCGGGGATGGAAAGAATACCTGTTGCACTGGGTTATCATCAGGGGAAAATGCAATGGGACCATCCATGCCCGGCATTTAGTGCCTGGCCAATGAGTGTGACTAAGCATTCGTATTATTATAAATAAGGATACATTTAGCATAGTGCCTACCATGTAAGTGCTCCGTAAATGTTACTTACCATAAATAAGGGTGAAAAAGTCACACCAAATTGGTCTTTAAATGTCTGATTTTACTTTGGTGCAATGAAAAGAATAAAGATGTTTAGTGAAAGCTCGCACTGTGATTTCAAGCAAGAGTAAGCCTTGGATGGACAGGCAGATGCCACCAGCCAGGCATGGCATCACATGGTTGTCATGGGGGGACGGCCGAGGGCCTCTGGTTCCATTCAGTGGTGTCCTAAAATAAATCTTTCTTGGACACTCCTGGAAGTGTCAGCTTCCAGTGTTGAATGGCTCGCCCAGGGCTGGGCAGGTGCTTCTGTCCTGGGTGTGGGCTTTGTGCTGTTGTTGCCTGGGACTGATTTCTTTCCTCTCTCCTTTTTTTTTTTTTTTTTTCCTCTCTCTCTTTTCTGGCTCTCTCCTCTTGTGTCCCAGGTCGAAAGGATTGTAGACAAGAGGAAGAACAAGAAAGGGAAATGGGAGTATCTTATCCGATGGAAAGGCTACGGAAGCACGGAGGACACGTGGGAGCCAGAGCACCATCTGTTGCACTGTGAGGAGTTTATCGACGAATTCAACGGGCTGCACGTGTCCAAGGACAAAAGGATCAAGTCAGGGAAGCAGGCCAGTGCCTCCAAGCTCCTGCGTGACGGCCGAGGCCCGTCGGTTGAGAAACTCTCCCACAGACCTTCAGAATCTGGAAAGAGCAAAGGGACTTCCCATAAAAGGAAGCGAATCAACCCTTCCCTGTCCAAGCCAAAAAAAGGCTATTCAGCCAAGCCCCCTGCGGGAGGCGACAGGGCCGCCAAGACGGTGTCTTACAGGACTACCCCCAGCGGTTTGCAGATAATGCCGCTGAAGAAGGCTCAGAACGGGTTGGAGAATGGGGACGCCGGCTCCGAGAAGGATGAGAGGCACTTTGGAAATGGGTCCCACCAGCCTGGCTTGGATTTGAATGATGTAGGAGAGCAAGAACTGGCCGAATGTGGTGTCAACCATGGGGCATTGGCAGAGAACGGGCTCGGTACGTGGCTTGTCTTTCCCTCCTGTGTCTGGGGCTTTTCATGCAGCGTAGGAAGCTACATAAGATCCCCCACCCCCACCCCCCACCCCAGCAGCCCTGACTCTTAGCTAGGGAGTAATTCTCCTTCCGTCTCTCTCACCGAGGGCTGTGTGGCCTTGGTCATAGGCCCACACTGGTTACAGACACCTGTGCATGGGAGGAGGCCAAGCAACTGGTGCTCCAGTCAAGGCCTGTAATTGGGCTGAAAATTCCTGACTACTTGAACTTACCCAGGGCCATGGTAACCGCTCTCGAGCCTCTGTTTTGAGGGCAGCTCCCACGTCCTCACCTGCTGGGACCCGAGACTCATGTCCCCAGAGGGCCAGTGTCTCTCTGGGGTCGCATGCACTTCCCAGGGAAGAGCATGCTTTCAATCTCATTGAGCCTTCCACAGTGTAGCCCAGAAAGGTGGGGTCTGCCCCTCTTCTCAGACCCAGTTTGGACTGAAATTCTCCAAACCCATTCTTAAGCTGGAGCCTCTCGCGCCTCATCTGTTGCTGGCCCGGGGGATCTGGCCCCATGTCTGTAGAGGTCCTGGATGCTTCCCCGACCACATCCTCTGCTAATTTTTTGGGTTTGCACCTTCTTCTTCCACCCTGGAAGCAACCCAGCAAAGGTTACAGAATTCCTCCGTTTTACCAGGTGCCCACAGGCAAAGTTAAGGAAAGAGGAGGCAATGACCCAGGTAATTAAAGCTCCCAAACCTGACATTTCCTTAATAGTGAAATTACTTCTTGACTAAGCCTTAGCGGCCTGGATCTTCCAGGTTAGCCATCTGTACGCGTTCCCTACACTCGCTCATTTCTCAGACACTTGTGTGTCTAGGTGGTGGCATTTTTCTCTTTAGCTGCCAGAACCTAAGCCTCAGGATGAGCGTGGACAACCCGGGCCCAACAGGGGAGGGACATGTGATGCCCTGGATGGAACCAGAGTGTATGTGGGCATAGGGGTGTGGGACGCAGGTGGGACGGGCTCACAGAACTCCCAGGAGGGGGCAAATGCACAGGAGAGCGATGGTGACTTTAGAGTGCCAAGTGCTCAGGGCATGCCCCACTGCCGAGAGCAGGGGCGCCTTTAGGGAATCTTGCCAGGGAATCTGAGCGATCTGCTTTGAGGTTCCTCTTTCTCCAGAGAGAGGAATTTCACCCAAACAAGATTTATTTAGCAGTGTCTGCCCTAGATTGACTCACGTTTCCGTCTGGGGATCCCTGATGCTGACATGACTCTGCCTGCTAGCATATGTAAAAACTGTTTGTTTTAAAAATTCATCTCTCGGGGAGGAGTGGGCTTGTGTCAATGAGGCCTGGCATAAACATCCATCTTTGACGTTCCCCTGACAGCTGCCTACGGGAGAGGGATTCCCTGTCTCGGGGAGGACGGCTGGTGAGGGGAACTTCTGAGGTTTCTTGGGTGTGGATGCAAGGAACCTGCGCATGATGCCCCGCACCCTGGCCGGTAGCAGTCCTCTGCCCGGCTCAAAATGTGGCTGCCGCAAGAGTGCAAGGAGAAGCATGAGGGGGGACGGTCTGCTGACTGTAGCCAGCAGTCTGCAGGGTGAAGCAGAGAAGCCAGGCTTGTAGAGAAGTCTAGATGGAGGTGCACCTCTCATTCCACATGACTTTCCGAAGTGGGGCAGAGCTCTTTGCCGTCTGCTCTCCATTTTGGGCCTCGTCGATGCCCCCTGGTTCATGATCTGCCGATGGGGCATGGTACCCCACAACTGGGGTGGGAGGGTGAGGATGAGCCTGCTGGGATCCGAGGTGGCCTTGTTAAATCCCATTCTTAACTCCAGAATGCTTCTCTAGACCTTTCTTGTCTCTGGTCTCTTATTGGCCTCATTTTTCTCACCGATGTTGAATGCTCTCTACTTGGGCATGTACCTGGACAGAGAGGAAGAAGCTACCTACTTCTATTTTGTTCTGTTTTGGGCATGCTCAAAGGGCTCTTTGGCTTAATTACATTCCATGGTATTGGTGTCCTTGAGATTCCCCTGTAAGGTTAAAGCTGCCATTCTCACATTTTATGTGTGTAAGATCACCCGGCACCTTGTTAAAAATGACGGTCCCATAGAGTCTGACTTATTAAGTCTGGGGTGGAGCCCAGAACATGGGTTTTTAGCAAGCACCCCAGGTGACTCTAATGCATTTTGAAACGTGCTCTGTGGCAAAATGGGGGTGGCAATTAAGGCTCACATCAGATGTCAATTTAAGTCAATTCAATGCATTTTTTTTTTTTTTTAAAGCTCTTCCTAAGGGTTAGTCACCACGCTAGGTGCTTGGAGCAATAAAAAGATAGGTAAGGACTTCTCCCAGTAAGATGAGAGTGGATGGCTCCAGGTCAGTGTTGAGAGGTTCCTGAGAGGTTCAGTGGAAGAGGTAACATGTGTATTACATACATGGTATAGCTTTGCCATGCCCACATTCACATCCTCTGTGGTCACTGGGCTGATAAATTCTCCACGCACTATCAGCCTTTAACATTCTAGTTAGAACTGGCTTACTATCTTAGGTCTTAGGATAACTGGGGAAAAAACAAGACTGGGAATCCTTAACCAAAGAGAGAAAGTGATTCGGGGTTCTTAGATAAGACTTAAAACAGAGGGGTTTTGTGGTTCCAGAACTTGCCAGCAAGGGGTCAGAGGTGTAGTCAAGTAAAACATGGCTCCACTTACGTTTTCAACTAGAGGAAAGTCTCGATGAAGCCAGTGTCCATGCCCATGTGGAAACTTGACTGTTGTCTTCCTCCCCATTTCCCTCACTCCACCTTTTCCCACCTCCACCAAAGGATCTGGTGCCTAGTGGCACAAGGTGAGCCAGTCGGGTTTGCAGCACAGAGAAGGGACTATCCTTGGCTCCCAGAAGGGGCTGGGGAGATCCTGGCTTCGCCTTCCCAGCATTTGTTTTGGGGGTGGGCTGTTGCTTTTTATATGATTTTAACTTCTCGTTGGTGAATTAAGGTTCTGCATACAGAAAAGCAACTTATGTAACACGTTACTCATTTACTGCTGACTTCCCTGATCTGTGCTGTGGGAACAAATGCTAAATTGGGGCTCTGGCGGGTGGTGTTTTGGTTTCAGCCTGCATTTTCCCCAGCGATGTTTGTGAAATGTGTGCAGCGACTGAATACTGCTCTCGATTCTGACTCCTCTGGTAATGACAAATGGCTCTGTGGTCCGGAACCATCTGCCTCAGTATCCCTTGGGGAGCTTGTTAAAAATGGGCTCCACCCCAATCGAATGAATCCAGATCTCAGGGGCAGGGTGTGGGTTATGCATTTTAAATGCTGAATTTTAACTATACAGTCATTGCAGAGGAAGTATTTGGTTTCTCAGCAGTGGTTCATGGATCCATTTGCTGGTAGAGCCAAAGTTACACGTTAGATGTTAAGCTTATGGAAGTGGGAATGTGATTTGGTCCTCCAAAGGTTTAAAACTTGACATCACTTCTTGCTGATGCACTTTTCCACCAGGCATCTCTCTCTGTCTTACACTCTCTCTCCCTCTCTCTTTTTCTCTAAAATAGACCGGTTTCATCTGTACGGAAAAGCTGTTGAGTTGGCTGGCTTCTCTCCTGGCCTGGTCCAGGAGAACTGGCTCGCTCACTCTTGTCTGATATGGGCCAAAGCATCAGTACTTTTTAGATTCGGATGAGCCTCTAACCTGTGGCAACATCCCTAACTGCGAGCCAGCATTCCACCCTGAGCGCGAGCACAACCCACAGGTGCCCAGCTTTCTCCTGAATGTCCGTGAAGCCATTGAGCTTCCAGTGTTGATGCCAAGCCTGTGGCCCCACGTTCGCTTTTCTTGGAATTCTAGAGAATCCTTTCCTTGCATCCTGATAACTGTTGCCTGTCGTGCAGGGACTGCAGCTCGGATGCTGCTTGATTCAGTGTTTTCAGAATGGTTCCTATCACTGAATGAGTCACCCCACACAAACAGGCATCATTTGCCATTTCTCTCCATTGATCTTTTAAAATGATCTCAGCTTTCACTTCTGTAATGTTTGTTTATCTCTTCCCACTCCTTTTCCTGCATGCTTATCATTTTGCCCTTCACTGATCATCGGGGAATAAGCATGTTTTAAAAGCACCTCAGGACTCAGCAGGAGCGTGGGTAGTGCCCTGTGGCTTTTAAGAACTTAGGGCTCTCACACGTGGAGCCGGCATCAGAATCCCCTGAAGGGTGTGTCAGAACACAAGGTTGTTATGCCAACCTGCCAAGTGTCTGATTCAGTAGATGTGGAGTAGAGCCCCAGAGTCTGCATTTCTAGAAAGTTCCCAGATGCTGCTGCCGGTCCGGGGACACCACTTGCAGATCTACTGCTCTAGACTAATGAGCACCAAGAGGGTTGAGACGAAAATGACAGATGGTGGTTGTGAATACCAGTTGGTGGTACTGGACAGAGCGGAAGTGCTTTTGCTCTGGACCTTGAGTTGGCATTCACAGGAATCCTAAGTTCAAAGTTTGTGAAATGAAAAGTTAAGTTCGAAGTTTTAGAGGATGAGAACTCCCCTACGATGAGGCCTTGGGGTTTACGAAGTACTTTTTATGATCCTCATATGGTCCTGAGAGCTAGCTTTGGTGGTTCTACCCATTTTACAGAGGAGGAAACTAAGGGTACGTGTGCCCAGGTCAGAACTAGGAGAGGAATCCAGGCAATTCGACTCTGGAGCTGGCCTCTCCACCACTGCCCCTCTAGCTCGCGAGCAGTATAAGACAGTTCCTAAAACCCTGATCCCTGACAAACACCTGCCCTGATTTGGGAGGGCAGGGGTGCTGATGGGGCACTTGGACTTACCCTTGTTGCTCATTACTGGAAGGATAGACTCCTAAGCCTGAGACAGTGTGACTAACTCTGTGCCATTAAGTTTGAAACCGTGGATAAGATGGCAATTCCCTAAAAAAATACAACTTAAGGAAATGAACTCAAGGACGACCAGAAAACCTGAATAGACCCATAACT